CCGGATCGAGATAGCACATCTATGAACTGAGACTGTTCAAGGTTTATACTACTCTTCAAGGTGACTAGGCAATCCAGTTGCTTTCCTGCCTTCAGTTCCATCCAACTCAATCGGTCTTCACACACTTACATCAGCCTACATTCTTTTAACGTGCTCGGCAATTGCGTTCTTCTGAAGTGACCCTGGCCTGATCTGGGAGTGAGCGATGTTTCTTCCAACCGTGGCCGACAACGTCGATTTGCATGAGCTGATTCAGCTCAGCATCTTAATTAATACATTGAATGCCACGAAAGGTGGCGGAAGAGTTTGAGAAACAAAGTTTATGGCAAGATGTTAATATTTGAAAAACGTACACTTTCTTTGGATGCCTATCTCATGTTGCGGGCTTGTACCGTTTGCAAACCGACCAGAACACCCACCAACTCCACGACTACTGAGATCAAATAGTACCAATTGAATGCCTCGATTCATTCGCCTTAACCACTGGTGATTCGTTACCAATACGCGCCAGCTTCTAGTAGCCCAGTTAGCTGAAGAGATTCCCATAATGAAAGTGCTGCAACCCTTCTGGCTCACCAACGGCAAACCCCTGCAGGGGATTTATGTTGTGGTCGCGTGGGTATGCAGCCTCACGCATTCTGCACTCCATGAGTCCCTTTTTATGAATACTTGGAAGGTGGTGCTGGTCCTGTGCAGAAACGCGTGTACAAGCGGAACTCGGCTGCTCGCGAATTCCATAGGTGTTACTGAAGGTCGTTCTTTGACCGCTCCTCTGATACTCCTCCTGGTATATTGAGAGGTCGTATTGAGCGATCGCACTTCCAGGATTGCACGCAGAGGCGTCTATCGGATTAGAGTTGTTGAGTGTTTTCCGTAGGGCGACATCATTCGGGATTGAGCTGGACTTTTTCCGAGGACTGTTTGAATTAGCGTATGCCAGTCGCTGAGGGCGGAGATCAAGGGAGCCAAGTACCTCAGAGTCTCTATCAGCAGCTGACTGAAGAGTGAAGTGCTGAGTTTCTTCATGCTTATTGCGACTGCCTCGGTAACGGGAGCGGAAATCACAGTATTTGCATTCGTAGGGTTTGTTCGCAGTATGGATCATTTTGGGAGGATCGAGGACATCTTTTCGCGCGTAGCGTTCCAAACACATCTTGTCTGTCAAACGACGCTCAATATCATGCGTGCGGATATGGCGGATGAGGTACCCTTGTTTCTTAAAGCGTTTCAGACACAATTTGCATCCAAACGGAACCACTACATTGTGTGTTTTGGTATGTCTCGTGAGTTCTTGTCGTTGCTTGAAACGTTTGCCACAATCTTCGCATTCTAACCGCCGCTTGTGAGGGAGGAGAATAGGCATGGAGATCGTATTCGAGAGAGTCTCCTCTGACCTGGCTTCTTCGTTAAATCTTCAACACCCTCGGCGCCGATTCAAGATAAAAGAGAGTTTTGAAGGAGACAAACTTGACTCGCAGGAGATCTGTTGCTGAGACGAGCGATGAGATAGTGATACCGACGAAGGGATCGGTAGATGCAAATATTTCCTTAACGGGCAAGAACAATGGCGGACAGCTGAAGACGAGATTTCGGCGTTCGGGTGTGACAATACTCTTCCGGACGCTCCTTCCGATGGGTTCTTGGGGCTCAGGGAAGGTAAGGCAGCTTGTTGGAAAGTCTGGTCAGGCGCATGGAATGACGGAAACGGAATCCGTTGATGCTTATGAGGAAATTTGAAAATGGAAAAGGCCGCAAAGTCAGATTTATCCGTAACTTCCCAATACACTTCCTGAGCACCGAAATTATGACAAATTGTACTCAGCTGGGCTATTCCGAGGTTGGAAAGTTTGCTATCCGAAGTGCAGTGGCTTTCGTCGACAAGAAGGTGGCCCGACACGCCCAGCGCTGGTACCCCTACCAGTTGAAGGCACCGGCCTTTTCGTCCAGCCCCTGCACCGATTGAACTTCTCTAATTGCCCCCTGCATTGGAGATTGGAGCGGTCAGCTTTCTTTTGCGTGCACAAGGTACCGTGTCATCTCATGCCTTGATTTGGGTGCTGTCAAACACTGTTGCAGCACCATCAGGAAATATTACACCCTCGCCCTTGTCAGGGGCTGCCAGAATGAAGCAGTCATAGCCCAGGCTACAACCGGATCGTCGAGTCGCGCCCGCCTGATCAGGGTCTGCTTGTTTTGCCGGCCGCACCGCATCTCCTGTCTTCTCTCAGCCTAGGACGGAACTTGGTAAGCACGTCACCTTGAATTTCCCCACTTAACTGCCCTGTCGCCAAGGAACCAGGCATAATTAAGCAGAGACACTCAACCAAGAAGGCGAAAGCCTCCAAGACGACATTCCTAGCTGCAGAGCTCCAACCCGGTATGAACCGCTCAACAAATAGCCTGAGGCATCGGAGAGCTTGGGACTCGATGACTACACCTCTTCCGGGACGCCTAAAGCTCCTCGGCATTCCTTCAATTCAACGCAGGACATCCGAACCCTCATCAAAAGCCAGACATCCAACTCTACCGATAGATACCATGGTTTCTCCGACTTCTTCCAGGCTTTGTGCCTTACCCTACAGAAGTGGAAACTCGAACAAGTCGACATGAGACCCATACATATAGGAAACTACGGGGGCAGTCAGGACTACCTTCCATGGTGGAACGAGAACAAAAGCCTCCAGAGCACCTTGCTGACTTTACGTGAGCGTATTTTGTGGACTGACGACGCTTTGGCTTATGGAAGCCCGGGCCAAATCTTCAACGTTGATATAAAGACGTTCTTCAGAACGTGTAATTTCTTCTATTAGCCGATTGTTGCTCCTTGCAACTCCTACAACAAAGTCGGGTAACTCTACTGTAACGGGCCACCTTCGTCTTAGGAAAGATAAGATTCTCCATCTAGGGAAGCACATCCCATTTAACAGACAAAAGCTATCAACCAAAGCTGTGGCCGCCCGCCTGTCTGGTCCTCGAGTCTCGGCCGGTGACTATGTGAATCTCGATGTCGAACGACGGTCTCAACTCCGGAGACATCTGTATCGCTAGTCGCATGTGCTCATCCACCTTTCTCTTCAT